TTTGAATTCTTCAACCGTTAGCTCATCTGAGAAAATCTGAGAAGTTGGTAGACCAATTTTCTTCTTCATGAGATGAATGAATCTTATCACCTGAGCAACCGATCTGACAAGTCGTAAATAATTGGAAAATCTTGAAAAATTGATAATTTCTTCACATCTCTTGTTGATCACAAAAACAAAATTCTTCTGTTTTTCTACTTCTGTACCATCTTCTATCTTTTCTTCGGCATGAGGCCATTTAAGTTATCAATGTTCCAGAGACCCCTGGTCGCTTCATCTGCTACATTGAACATTGTGGGTAGCCAATGCCATTCATCAGGATTTATATTATTAGAAATTTCTCCAATTCTGTTGGCAACAAATGTCTTATAGTTCCTTGGATGCGATCTAATCCAACTCAAAACTATTTTAGAATCAATCCAAAACAATTTTTTATCTATTTTTATGTTGTGGCCATTTTCGATAGTTTTAGCCAATCTTGATCCAGGAAGAGCTGCTTGAAGTTCAATTCTGGGTACTGCCATGAGTTTCAAGGAAGTGACTCTTGACTGGAGTCTTTCATTCGAAAATATGACACAGCAGCATATCCTTTTTTACTGCCATCCGTAAAAGTATGTGGTTGAATTTCAACAATATGACTGCTGAATCCATACCATCGAGGAATTCTCAAATTTTTTATTTTATACACTCAAAAACATTTCTTCGATGTCTCCCATTATATCAATTCAATTTTGACGAGAATTGAATGAAATGTTTATCAATGAATTCAAAAAGTCAGGACCTTTTTATAAATTTTCGTTCAAATTGATTCCATCTATTTTGACTCTGAATTTTTGTGGTTTACTAGGATGTTTTACTGCACTTTTCTGAACTTTGAAGGGCCGTAATTTTTTAAATAAGGGAGAGCGCCGCTTTTTTCTTTCGGATTCGTAATCTACGCATCAAAATACGTAAGTACAGTCAAAATTTTTTTCAAAATCGCCGGGTGTCCACATAACGAAAATTTACCTTCAGGTCGTCCAAATCTAGCCTCTAACGTCTCAAGTATGTCATTGAGATTATCTGGAGAGACAAATAGTGGCTTCACTGCATCTAAAGCTTCATTTCTCAGAGCTTTTTGTTAACGTAGCAAACTTTCTTCATCAGAGTAAGCACATGTTTCAGTGGATCGTTGATATAGAGAAATAAACATTGGCCAATCCTCATCATTGCCGTTGAAATAAGAAAGTTCTTTCCCCACAACATTCCTGCAGGATACCTTAGAAGATTCATTATGGATTTGATTTTGTTTGGTTACTGATTTGAATGCATCTGTCATTGCTGAAGTGAATTCTTTCATAAACTGATGTGTTGTGATAGGTGTCAAGTAAACAAAGGTAAGTTTCATACTGTTTATTTCAGTGTTGCCAACTTATCATAAAAATACATTAGTGTCAATACACATTAGCAACTCCTTCACATTTCCCCTATAAGTCAAGTCTTTTAACAGGTTTTACTTCTCCACCTGAAGATGTTATTTTAGAAGCGTTTACAAACATTTGTTCTAAATCTATCACTCTATGTTCACTATCAGAACTTCCAGATATTTGTCACACGAAAATTGTTTAAACAGATGTGATGTGAATTGTGGCCCTTCATCTGATACCAACGTCAAGGGTATCCCGTGTCGTGCAAATATTGCTTTCATAATTTCTATTACTTCATCACTAGTGGAATTTATGTCAATTTCAGCTATTTCTATGTATTTTGAGTAATAGTCTATCAAAAGAAGGAATTTTTATCTCTGATTTCATAAATATCGCATCCTACTTCATTCCAGGGTAAGGTAGGAATATCATGGGTTCCTAATAGTTCATTGTTTTGAGATTTTCCAAATCTTTGACAAATTGAACATTCGTGGGCTGCTTGTCTTATCTGACTAGACATAAAAGGCCAAAATACCGACACTTGAGTAACTTTAACGGACTTATTAATACGCATGTGGGCATAATGAATTCTGTTAATCATTTCCTTACGCATAGTGCGTGGAACTACTACACTTTGTCTCTTGAAAATCGAATCATCTACAATGGTTAGCTCACTTTTATACCTGTAATAAGTTTTAAGATTTTCTGACATTTTTTATTACTGTTTGGCCAACCTTGTAAAATCATATTTTTCACTTCTTCTAACTCTGCATCATTTTTTGTTTTCTCTTTCAATTCCTTTAGTTTGAGCTCAGTTATGTTTAACTGTGACTTGATTAGGCATACTCGAGCACAAATGTCTTCATTAAAATCAGAATTATCATTATTACTTACATACGCTCTTGACAGTGCATCGGCAAGTATCAACTTTTTTCCTGGAATATATTTTAAATTTATTTCATATTTTTGTAGCTGTAACATCATCATCCAAAACAGATTGTCAGCAGTTCTTTCTCTATTTGAGCATAGCGAGTTTCAGCCTCTGTCATTGACCTCGAAGCATATGCACAAACTAACCTATTTTGTAGCAATACTGCCCCTATCCCTGTTTTAGATGCATCTACTGATACTGTCACTTCTTTTGTAACATCAAAAAACTGTAGTACTGGCTTGTTACTTAGCTTAGCTATCAATTCTTTAAATACTTGTTGATGTTCGTTTTGCCATATAAACCCTACATCTTTCTTTAAAAGCTCTCTTAAAGGCTGTGTTGTACTTGGAAATCCATTAATAAATTCACTTACATATGTAAACATACCTAACAATCTTTGTATATCCAATTTATTTTTTGTCTGTGGCATATTAGTAAGATCTTTTATTTTTTCATCATTTGTTGCTAACCCAGCTTTTGAAATTGTATGTCCCATATATTTAACAGACTCTTTGCCGAAGTGGCATTTATCTAGATTGAATCGAACACCAGCCTGTTTAGCTACTTGCATTACTTGTTCAAGTCTACTATCATGTTCTGATTTAGTCTTACCCCACACGATCAAATCATCGATATAAACTTCCACCCCCTCAATATTAAATATTGATTTAAACCGATCCTGGAAAACCTCAGGGGCTGATTTTATTCCATAGGGTAATCTCAGGAATTTGTATCGTCCGAAAGGTGTGCCAAAGGTTACAAATCAGTACTTTTCTCACCTTATACTATCTGGTAAAACCCGCTTGTGGCATCAAGTGTGCTAAAATAACTAGCCCCAACTAACTTAGTAGTTATTTGTTCTATTGTTGGTATTTGACAATATTCCCCCTTCATCACAGAATTCAAATCCTTTGGGTCCAGGCATATTTGTAAACTTCCATTTGGTTTTTTAACCAAGACTAGCGCATTTACCCAATCGGATGTACCATCAACTTTTTTAATTATTTTTAATTTAACTAACTCTTGTAGGCTTTGCTTTAGTTTATCGTGCAATGGTAAAGGCACTTCACGTGTGGGATGTACAACAGGCTTAGCATTTTTTTCAATTTCTTTGTGATATTTTTTCTTCAATTGCCCAATTCCTGGAAATATTTCTGTATAACGTTTCACTATTTGTGAATATTCATTTTGTTCAGTTACCAAGTCAATTTTCTTAACTAAATTCAATTGCAGGCAAGATGATAGCCCTAAAATAGTCTGAGTATCACTGTCAACTACAAAAAACTCTATTTTATACAGTTCATCATTTTTCTGACATTCTATATACATTTACCTACTACCGATAGTGAACTCCCAGTATATGATTCCAACTTTGTGTTTGTCCCTTTTATCAACTCCAAAGGTGAACCTAACTCTTTATAATTTCTTAGTGGAAGTACATTTACTACAGCCTCGGTATCTATTTTGAAAGATACAAACTTATCGTTTATTTTAATTTGTGTAGTCCAAACCTGTGTATTTTCCACTGATACAGTGAATTAAACCTACGAACATATAGTCTTCTACTACATATACATTATTTGACTCATCTACTACTACATTAACTTTTTTAGATTTTTTCTTGCACATTTTAGCAAAATGATTTTAGTTGTGACAACTTACACAAATCTTGCCAAAGGCTGGGCACTTATTTAAATCATGTGCCTTCCCACATTTTGTGCAAGAAACAATCTTTTTGGTACCTGCATTATTTGAATAGTAGTTATTACACTTTCCACCGAAATTGCCTCTTTGAAAGTCTCTGTTGTTCTTTTTTACTGCTTCAACAGCAGCACCAGCGCCTCCTGACGCAGTACTCTTCATTGTCTCACTTTGTTCCTTGGACTTTTCAATAGACCTGAATGTCTCAATGGTTTTTTCCAAGGAAATGGACCCATCTTTCAGCAGCCTCTGCCTAATGTCTTCATCGCTGACTCCCGCAGTAATCATGGCTTTCACCATCAAGTTTTCTAAATCTCCCAACTTGCATTTCTTTGCCTGCTTCATCAACGTGGTGATAAATTGATCTAGGGTTTGTCCTTGTTTCTGACATAGAGTTATGAAGCTGAATATTTCGAAAACCGAGTTTTCTTTAGGTAGAAAAAAGGCTTCGAACTTATCTAGCAAGACGTGCAGCTTGTCTTTCTCTTCATCCGTGAAAGTAAAGGTTTCCTGAATTTTGAACCCTTCTTCGCCAATGAGATGAAGCATCTGTGCACATTGGATTTGCTCCGTCTTTTTATTTAGTTCCGAAGCTATAATATAATTTTGAAAACGACACTTCCAGATCTTCCAATGGGGATGATTACGGAAAACTCATCCGGCAGAGTGCGCTGAGTGTTTGTCACATTGGTCATTAGCTGTCAAAGTTTCCACCGTAATTTATTGATTTATTTGAAAGTTTCTTATTTAAATTGCTTGCAATTCAAGATGTATTCTACCTGGCGTATCGCTCAGTTGAAGGAGGAGTTGAAGAGAAGAGGTGCAACCCTGCGAGGGAAGAAAGCTGATCTAGTGGAAAGGTTCATAATTTGGCATATTTGAACAACTCTCTCATTATAAAGGCAGTTTTTTGCATCTAATTTGCTCCCAAGAAATATATTAATAAAAAAAAACACATATTTTGTGTTTTTTTCACTAATAATCAATGAACATTATTCTAACCTCAAAAACATGCAAGTTTTAAATTTCAATTTTGTTTTCAGATTAGAGGCTTACGATAGAAATTTTAATTTCGAGAATATCCCAAGAAAGACCAGAACTCCAGATGAAATTACCGGAAAGAAATATGTTTCGAGATGTGAATAGTAATATGTTATTACCACCAATAACCAAAGAGCATATAAATTACTACTTCTCCAGGTAAACTTTGAATTTATTAGACCATCTTCAACTTGAAACATGATTGTTTTGTTTTCATTATGTACATGATGGTTCTGTTGTAGGTTCAACAAAAAAACGGATGATGGGCTTCGAATGTACGAATGTAGATATTTACTTGTATTAAGGGCATGTAGGGTGGGTACAAGTTTATATCTGAAAGGTATTTGCAAGGCATCCATGAAAAAAATTCAGTATGAGGTCCACATCAAGATTGAAGATGATGGAAGTCCTTCTGAATGCTGTTGTGAATGTGCAGTGGGAAGTGGATGGGAAGCACACTGTAAACACGTCGCCGTAGTGATGTTTGCCGCTGAACAAATGTTCAGAGAGAAACGAATGTTGTTACATTTGGTATGTACGCAGCAGCCCCAAAGCTTCCATATACCAAAGAAAACGTTTACTGCCTCACCTCTACGAGCTGAGACATTACCTTCTAAGAGGCAAATGCAAAATGTTTTATTTCATCCATATCCTTTGGAAAATATTAACAAAGAGAATTATAATGTATGGGTACGAAATATTTGTATTGGCGCTACCTCCAGCACAATGCCAATGAAACAATTATATAGGCCAGCTAATCCTTATGGTGTTATTAATGACCACATTTATGGAACTGACCCAAGAGATATTTTGTGTAACAATTTATTGTTGTCAAAAATTACTAAGACAGAAATTTCGGACATTGAGGTAAACACAAGAGGCCAGACAAAAAATCATTATTGGCACGAACAGCGAGAAAATCGCATAACCGCCAGTCATTTTCATACTGTGTGCCACTTGATATTGCAAAAAAATGAAAAGTTTGCAGAACAATTGTTGAATCCCACTCCATTCCAGTCTCGTGCAACCATACATGGACTAATTAATGAACCAGTGGCAATTCAAGAATATAAACAAGAATATAAACAGAGATACAAGAGTGTGGTCTGTTTATCTCAGAGAAACATCCTTTTTTAGCAGCGTCACCTGATGGTTTGTTAGGGGATGATACCGTCATAGAAGTAAAATGCCCATTTGTATGCAGGAATCACAACATAAATCCAATTACTGTTCCTTATATATTTGAGGAAAATGGGACACTATTTTTAAAAAAAAAGCACCCTTATTATTCTCAAATACAAGGTCAGTTGTATTGTACCGAGAGAAAATTTTGTAATTTAATTATATATACATTTAAAGAGATAAGAGTTATTTTTGTGTTAAGGGACGAAGTATTTATAAATGAAATGCTACATAAACTTACACATTTTTATGAAAATTATTTTAAAAAGGCATTGTATCAGAAATATATTTATAGAAATTATCAATAAAAAACAAAATTTATACCGAGACTTTTATTTCTTTGTATTTACAATTCCTTCACGAAAGTTACATAGTAACACATACAAAAAAAAATCTAGAAGCCAGTGGGACATAATAGGCATTCAGTTCACTTGTTAAAATTTTAAAAGTTTTGCTCAAACCTATCAACCGTTCAATGTGTACTCTGTACTTTGCTAGATTCCTATCGTGTTTAACTTGAACACCAGAAAGTTGACTTTTACCTTTAAGAAAATTAGGTATATTTATTCCAATATTTTTTGTAGCAAATAAATCCTGGACATTAAATCCCCGATCTGCCATAATGCTGTCTCCAGAATCACAGTTACTCAATAAATCACTTCTTTCAATCATCTGCCTGTCTGATGTAGAGCCTCCATAACCATCTGAGCAGTAGCTGATTAATCCTCCAGGTGTAGCCCCAACCAAAAATGTTATTGTATTTTTGCTTTTATATGAACTGAAGGTGGCTTGCTGTGACAAAGGGTTTTTAGGTTTTGCTATAGGAATTTCGGTGCAATCAATTATTACTCTAGTCTTATCATGGAATTTTTTAAACTGTTGAGGCATGTAATAGTCCACAATTTGTCGCATTGGCCAAATATCTATTAGTGACCATAAATCATACACGAAATTCAGCCATGTTATAAAAATGTTTGATATTGCGGTTTCGCTCACTCCAAAAATTTGTGATAGTTCAAAATCACATTTGTTCCTTCTCAATTTGATTAATAATATGAGGAATTGGTCTTCAATATCAATATTCATGACCTGACTACCTTTGTATTTCAAGTGAAGAGCCATTGGATACAAAGTGCTCAAAACTAATCGAAATTTCTCATATGACTCTAATTTTTTGTTCATTAGAAGTTCATCATTGGAAAATAATCTGAATAAAGTTGGTGTTTGTGTGGACTGGCTGATTAGGTTTTCCTCATCAGGATTATCTTCCTCGGGGTGGAAAGTAACTTCTGAGGCAATTTCTTGTTGGAGGTCTAGATAATATATATCTGAAAATCAAATGGAATATAGTGGTGGTTGAGCAGCCAATATAATAAATTTATTTATTGGATACTTACCATAGAGAGGAAGCTGATTCTCTTTATCTTCGAAAATTTCAGATGTGTCAGTACTAGCTGGCTTCAAATCACGTTTAGCATTCCTTTTTTCTAATCTCAACATCCGTGGACTGATAGAATTCGAAGTACAGCGAAATACGGAAGGTACACCTGATTTTTTTAAAAATTTTCTTCGGAGTGGAAACCCTATTAAATTTTATAAAATTAATATCACGTATAAGTAAGTAGAATGAATGCTACTTACCAGTTGTCTTTGAAATAGTCTCAAAATCAGAATGTTTGAAATGTTTACCACATAACCTAGAATGATCAGTACATTTGAACTTTACTATCCTCAAAGATTTTTCCCACTTTCTTCTCATAATAGTATCTTTAGGAAACTTATAAACTCCCATTTCTTTGCATCCGAAAGAAGAACAACGACCCATTTTTCTGAATAAAAACGAAAAATCACAAATGTTCCCATATAACCAATGTATCTTTTGATGACAAACACTTAGCGCCCTCTATGTACAACAAATTGACAGTTTGCTTCCCCATTCTCAGCGAGATTTCCCTCGATATTCATTGGAGCTATTGCAGCGCGTGCTTCACTCATTTTCAATTACTCGACGTTTAGTATGCTCAGTTAACAGCTATGAACTTTTTTCCTACTTGCGTGAGGCTTTATTTATTTTGTTTTTCACCTTTGTCTGCTTTCTTATTTAATTAATTAAAATTTTTCCGACTGCGCCATGTCAAGTAAACGAAGGTAAGTTTCATACTGTTCATTTCAGTGTTGCCAACTTATCATAAATAAACATTAGCAACTCCTTCACAATAGGTTCATTCATTAATTTTTCGGTTCCTGGGTTTGACTGCTTTGAATATGGAAAATTATTTTCCAATAACCAGTCAACAACTTTGCCATGAGTATTTTCCACTGAAATATCTGATAACTTGGCGTGTCGAAGAGAATTCATTTTGCTACTTCTTTCAATGCTTTTTTTATGTATACTACTTTCCACACTTTCACTTTGCTCACTACTACTTTCAATGCTTTTTGAAGATTTTTCTGCTTCTATAGACGTTTGAATCTCCATAATAGCTAGCTTTCTTTCAATTTCACGTTCTGAATGTTCTAATTTTTGTTGGACACATTTTAAAATCAGATGGTGGAATGGAATAGGACAAGAAAGATTACCAATGAGCCTCATTCTAAGAGACGTAAGCTAAAAGAATCAGCGTATATTCTCATGTCTGGAGAGAAACGATGTCATCGATGACATAAGCAGATCAAGCTTATTCCGTGACATTGAAAATCGTAATTCATGAATGAATTGTGTGTATTTTCTATAATGTTATTCAATTTGGTACTGAAGAGCCTTAGGGCAAGTGTCTTGAGGCGAAACATTGAAGTATACCAGTGAGTATGACAGTGTTCCATGTAAGTGCAATTTTTTACCATTCATTTAAAGTAGAACTCATGTAAATGATATCTGATTTTCATTCCACAACGAATGTTCAAAATACAAACTGAGTGGAGAAAAGTATCTTCTGTATAATTCAGTGTTCATATAGAAGTATTTGTTTCAAAAGAATATTTTTCTTTCGTGTAATTCAATGTTTGTATGAAAGTAGCTGTTTCATGAGGACTTTCTTTCAGTTACTTCTTTGCATGATCGACACATCCATGTATAGAGTTACATATTTTCAAGTTGATTACTTCCTTCCTTCCTTTGGAAGATTCCCTCATCCTTTTTTTGTATCAAGATGGAGTAGTAGAAAGCCATAAGCTTTCTTTCCCAACAAAAATGTAATTTCTGTAGTGGAAATCATCCAAGCAAACTCTACACTGAAGCAAAAAAGTGGACATTATTTGACCGCAAGAAGAAACTTCTTGAAAAATCCTGCTGTTATATGTGCTTGAATTATGGACATATTTCCAAAAAATGTCATGTGTCCATAACTTGCACTCTTTGCGGTGGTAAACATGCCATCATGTGTCCCCTAGTCTGAAGATTCAGATTGAAAAGCAAGTGTTATGAGTACGAATGTAGAAATAGTTCATATTCCGAAGTTTTTTACAGACATTAGTCGTCAATTTGGATGGATTCGACAAATCCAGAACAGCTCGAATAATTTCTGATACCGGTTCTCAAAAATCATACATCACGAAATCTGCAGCTGAAGAGATGGGATACAACTGCTTGCGACAAAAAGAAATTATTCACGCCCTTTTTGGTGGTTCAAGAACAAATGTTGTAAAACATAATTGTTATCGCATAAAATTGAATGACTTGAAGAATAAATATGCTTGCAATTTTGAAGCACTTGATCAAAAAATCATATGCAGTAATGTGAACTATATTCGTAAAAGTCTTTGGATTTATAAATTGCAGTCTGTTAGCATCAAAATCACTGATGTCAGAGAAGGGCCAATCGATATTTTGATCGGTGCTGATATAGCTGGAAAATTATTCACTGGTAATCGATATGAGTTGGAATGCGACCTAGTAGCAATTGAAACTCTATCAGGTTGGACCCTGATGGGAAACCTCAAAGAAAACCATGAAGAAACTCCGAAATCAACGATAGTGATGTCCATGTTTTCCAAATACGAATCGATTGCTGGCTTATGGTCATTGGATGTGCTTGGGATTTCTGATCCGTCAAAAAAGAGGTCACAGAAAGAAATCGAATAATTTGTCATGTCTCAATTCTTGAAAAACACACGAAGATGGCAGATACGAAGTTTGTCTGTCTTGTCTCGAAGATCACCCTCCTTTACCAAGTAATTATGAAACAGCCAGAAGACGATTAGAATCCTTGCTGAAGAAACTCGATTCAGATGATTTACGTCATCAATATGCCCAGATTCTCATAGAATGGGAAACTGAGGGTATCATTGAAGAGGTACTTACTTGGTGAACTTACTCGAAGAAGGGCATTATCAACTCATCGCCACGTGGTGAAAAAAAAACCACACGACTACAAAAATCCGACCTGTTTTTGATGCCTTTTCTTGACAGAATAAATCAGCCATCCTTAAACCAATGCCTAGAAGAGGGTACTAATCTCATTGAATTAATACCTCATGGACTCAAAGCTGACATAAAGAAAGCTTTCTTGCAGATAAGCTTGAATCCCAAAGGAAGATAATTTTTGCGTTTCCTTTCTAGATGATACAGGATTGCTGAAATAGAATAGCTGAAATAGAAACTCTGATACATTGCAGTTGACATCAGACTGGTTTCGAGATATTCATACTGACATGATAACAAAACGGGTTATTTTGTTGATAGCTCACCGAATATTCAATCCCATTGGATTTTCATGCCCAGTTTCTCTTTATCCCAAGATATTATTGCAGAAGACATGGGAATTGAGAACAGAGTGGGATTCTGAGGTACAAAAAGACATCAAAGAAGGTTTTCTGAAATGATTCGAAGAAATTCCAATTCTTTTCGACCTGAAAGTACCTAGATAGTTATTTGATTCCATTGAAGTAAAGAATCACTATCGTTTGCATGTTTTCTGTGATGGAAGTCAAGCTGCCTACGCTACAGCCATATTTATGAGATCTAAAACATGCAATGGCGTAAATGTACAGATTGGAATTACTAGCAGATACCATAGGAGCAAGATTATCTAGAAATGTTACCGACAGCATCAATTTCAGTATCTTGGTTTATTATTGATCTGATTCACTACTGTTTAGCCTGAATCAAAGATGAAGAGAAATGGAAACTTTTCGTCTGGAGTCGAGTGAATGAAATTCGAAGCTTAACTAATCCAAAAGCCTGGTTTCACGTTCTAGGAAATCTCAATCCCGCCGATATTCCATCTCGTGGTTGTTCTCCACGACAACTGATTCAATCGAAATGGTGGAAGGGACCTAAATGGTTGAGAAAATCTCTGAAGTACTGGCAGAATCAGCTCTACACTCGAGATGAGGAGATGATCTTCGTAGGAGATTTAGAAATGAATATCTCGGTCAGCAGAAATTGTCATCGGAAAAACGAAAACAGATAGAAATCAAAATTGAGTGGGATAATAAAACACGTCTGATCAAACTGAAGACAACAAAGGGAATAGTACTCAGGCCTCTACAACGATTATATCCTTTAGAGATGAATTGTGCTAATGATTTGGACTCAGACCGAGCAGTTTCTACAAGAGAGACTGAAAGTAAAGAAACTGAAGAAACCAAAGAAAATAACTACTAGATATGGTAGCAATTTGAGTTGTTGGTGAACAAGGTTCCACAACTCAAGGTGGGAGTATGTATCGGATAGTTCATTCTCTGAATTTGTAATTTTTTTTTTGTACACATTGTATTCTCTCTAACAAGTTGTCAAGTTACTGTCATTGATATATGATTGATAAGTCAATTTTATTGAACGTTTTTCGAATATATTTGAGATTGTTGAGTACTTTCATAGTTTTCGATCCATATTTCGACGTATTCAGTCAACGGGTAGGTGAATTTCGAATATTTAACAATAATGATGATTTTTAATATGCCGTTTCTCATGATTCCTAACTAATGGATTTGTATACATTTTGAAATCCGTCGATCATATCTCAGTATTTCTATCTGTCAGGTCAGACAATTCCACTTTATGCTTCGATAAGTTTGTTGAAGGTTAAAATGGACACCAATATGTCTTGGCACGATCATGTCGCTGGAATTGCAAAAGCCGCTTCTCAAAAGCTTGGAACACTATTCCGAACCAGAAAACTGTATAGGTGAAGCTGGTAGATTCCATCCAGAAAAAGCCATCCGCCTGATTGGAGACACGAACATCACTTGCCATCTTGATATTCTGGAATATCGAAAAAAGGTTGGAGATTTGTCTCTCTTCTAAAGATAATTTCACGAGAAGTGTTCAAGTGATTTGGCAAATTTTATTTCACCAAGAGCGGTACATATCAGAAATACGCGACGGAATGTGACTGCTCATCGTTTTAAGGTTCAACTCAGTACACCTCGAACTTCATTGTTCAAGAACTCTTTCATTTGGAAAACTGCGCTCGAGTGGAATAAACTTCCTGAGAACGTTTTTCCAAATGGATTTAATCTTCAGCAATTCAAATCCAATGTAAATCACTACTTTTGCACAGGCACCGCTCTTATAGCGCCTTAAGGATTTTCCTGTAGTGCTTGTGTTTTATCCTTAAAAAAAATAAAAATATGCAAAATTATATCTGCACACCGCATATTGATATTATAGACGAAAAAACGTCCATTTTCTATTAATTTTGATATTTTTCAAAAATTGAACATTTGAACATTTTTTTCGTTGTATCCCCACAAAAATCAAATCTCACTATTTAGTTCATGCTTATAATCGCAAATGTGATTTTTCATTTGAAAATGGAAAATAATTTCGTCATTGCGCTTTACACGCGCGTTCTTGAATCACGTGTATGTTCAAAACAATAACTTTTTCTGGATTCATATGTAAATTAAAGTATTAACGTCATTCATTATCTGAAATACATATTTTCAACCACTATAACCCACTTTTACTCATAAATGTTGTCATATAGTACTTTTTTCCTTCTCATCATCGTTCAATTCACTTCACATTGATTGGCAAATAAATATAAATGTTCAATATTTCATTCCTGGAGTTGGTATAAGGAGTTATATTGATGGAAAAAATGTAATTATGAACATTTACAAAAATCAAATTGAAGAAAAACCTTTATTGTCCGTTGATGAAATCGTGAGAAAAGTAGGAAACATATCTGGAGTGTCTCCTTGAAATGTCTATGGAGTTATGAGAGAATATAAACAAAATCATTTTCTTTCGGCTCCAAAACCATATTTCTCACGAAAGAAAGTTTTTGATAAGGTAGACGGTATTAGAAGGAAAGTCCATCATTTTTTTTTCGAAACGAAACGGCAACAATGAATTCAGTTCTAAAAGTTGTAAACGATGATCCTGATCTACCAAATTCCAAAAGGTCGACTTTCCACTAATAAATAAAAAAATAAGTTTCATTTTTTTTAAAAATAGGGAGAAATAGTTTGTTGCTCGAGAAACCAGAAATAGTATAGTGGGGGCGACAATCTTGAATGGAAATAAGAACCTGTAAGAGAAAAAATGAAAAATCTATTACCTGGAAGAAACGTGGGTAAACGCAGGCCACACTAAGTCCAAAATTTGTATTGATGAATCAATAAATTCTTCAAGACAAGCCTTTTGAGATGGCCTATCAACTGGTATGAAGAACCCTTCAGGTAAGAATCACCTTATTATACTCTCAAGAAACCCCGTATGTTGGTGAACAAGATAACTTGTTATTGTTATGTTATGGAAAAGGAAAAAGATTGATAGTATGTCACATAGGAAGCGAAACCGGTATTGACCCCGACGCCTTGTGGGCCTTCGAGTCGAAGAAAACGGACGACTATCATGAGAAAATAGATGCCATATCTTATGAGAATTGATTTAAGAACATAGTTCCGGAACTAGAAGAGAATTGTGTAATTGTTTTAGACACCACTCCATGCCATTCCAGAAAAGCTGAAAAATTCCTACTACAGCCACAAAAAAAACTGTACTTCAAGACTGGATGCGTTTGAAAAGTATACCATTCGAGGATAACATGGTAAAGTCAGAACTTTCAAGGATAGTGAATGAACATAAAACCAAATACATATAATAAATACATTGTTGACGAAATTGCTAAAGCACATAATAGAATAGTATTATGTCTTTCCCCTTACCACTGCGATCTCAACCCAATAGGGCTTATTTGGGCGGAAATGAAAAACTATGTTGCGAAAAAAATATTTCTTTTGAATTTTGTGATCTTAAAAATATTTTCAGTGAAATTGTTCCGCCTATTACCGCTGGAAAATAGAATAAATGCATAGAGCATGTGAAAGATGAAGTATATACAAATGGAAATGTTAAGTTTACCGAAATCCGTTGTTAATTAATTTTAACGATGATTCTTCAGTAGCAGTTATTCAGCATCTGAGTAATCGGTCTAAAATTACGAAAGGATTTATAATTTCAATATTATATTTCTAATTCATACTTTGAAACATCATTTTGAAATCAATAACTGTTTACCCGTTCATCCTGCTGAAATGTAATATCCTCATTTTTTGTAGTTCACATAATGTCAAATATACAATTTTTTTTGTTTCCTTCATTATTTAAACTTTGAATAATTTTCCTACGCCAAGCCGCATATTAAAAATATCGGACGTTCCTCAGTGCGACTCTGTACAGGCAGCCTTGTCTGGGAGATCACGTGCACTATGCATGATAATGTTTTGGAGCACTCCGTTGCTTGGCTGGAGAGAGTATAGTGGACTAAAATATCGTTAGCAGTGTCTCGCTCTTCATTGAATGTTTTCAAAAAAAATACCGAGATACTAAGGTACGAAGGCAGACATTTTTACATAATTTATTTGAAACATAATTCTGTGATATTATAAAATAACGATAAAAATAAAAACAACAATAAAAATTAATTGGCGCTCAGGGGCAACTTCATTGATTCCAGTGGCGCATTTGCTTTTTCAGCTGCAGGAAAACCCGGAAAAACCTGCGGCACCACATCATCTGAAGATCTTGATCTGCCAATGTTCTCTCTCTCATAAAACAAAATTTAGGGTGTCTCCAGAGGCTCCAAAAGATTCAATACATCGCCAGAACACTTCATGACAGGACTATCG